ACACACACACACACACACGTATACGTACGGATAAGTTAACCCAGTTGGGCAGTCATCTCAAAAGTAAAAAAAGGAAGAAAAAAGAGGGTGGCTTTCATGTTTTCACTGTCAACCCCACCTCCTTTACTTTCTCTGCCTTAAAATATGGTAAAATTAATTTGAAAATTAGTTTTGTTATTAAAAAAATTTATATTTTTGGTTAAAAAAAAAAAATGAATTGCAGTCAAATTAGGAAAGTGAGAAAAGGAAAATAAAAATGGTGGTGTTAAATTAGAATGATTGATTAGGAAAGTAGTAATGTTGAAATGTATATAGTTGGTTAGGCATTTCAAAAAGACATTGATGGGTTAAGAAGAAGTCACTGTCCCTTGTTTGGCAACATAAAATCCTTGTTGCCTAAACCCACGCACGCCAAACTCAAACTCTCATTAAATCCTTTTTCTCATTAATTTCCCTCCTTTTTTTTTTACCATTTACTTTTTACTTTTTACTGTCTTTCTTATTATCTTGTTTACCATATTTTTACGGCCACCTCATGGGTGGTTGGCTATTTTGATTTAAATAAATAATAAATTTATTCCAAATATATTGTACCATTTTTTTTGTTCAACCAAGTTGTTGTTCTGTGGGAGTAGGACATGAATTTTGTCATATTATTATTATTATTATTAGGAACTTAGATGGTTCTATTGTGATTTTTGGCTCCAACTACCACAAGAAAACTCATGGAGGTGGATTAAGCATATACATTCAATAAATATCATTTTAATTTCCCCAATCTATACACACACACACATATATATATATATGCATATATATTCATCACATGAATCAATTAAGCTTAAAATGTTTGGACTAAATTGATTCTCCAACAAGATTTAATTTTTAGTCATAAAAATTAATTTTAGGTAATTAATATTTTTCAAGTCATCTTAGAAGAAATTTTGAAATATATATATATATATTTAATGATGGGAAAAAAAAAATCTCATATGGCTTAATCAAAATATTATGAAGAAAACTTATCAATTCAATTAAGCAATTGGGTATCAAAAAATTAATTGAGATCACAAATTATATTTCATTATAATATATACAAATATATTAAAATTAAAAAATACATATTATTTACAATGTATATTAATAATCAAACTAGAATATATTTAACTAGGAGTAAGGAAAAAAAAACAGAATTAAGTTATAAAATACTAATTTTCTGTTAAAAATTTTGTATTATGTCATAAAATGTTTTTAACTATTTTTTATTTTCCTTTTCAACACGAGCAGAGTCCAGAGAGCGTGACGCTAAATCCAAAATGAGTCAGGAAATAAAAGATGGCTTTGTTGGGGGACAACTGGTCACGTGAGGCCCACCAACTGAAAAGCCCATGAGCTAATGTAGGCCTAAAGTAGTCTGCCTGACCCGACACGTGTCCATCGCAGCCTCCATTCTTTCAGAAGTTGTAAACATCATCGTCCTCTGTTTTTCCACAGATCGCGCGGACGGAAATAAATCGTTGACCACTCGGTTCAACGGTTGTGATTTTGTTGGTTTAGGGTCTGTTTGTGTATCGGATTAAGGATTTAATTATTTAAAAAAAGATATTAAAGCACAAATATTAGCTTCAGAACTTTTTAAAAAATAATGTGTAAGATGCCCATTAAAATAAAAATAACGTATGAAATTTTAGTTTAATTGAATATCATTTAGGAATTAATTAATTAATAAATTATTCTTCAAAAAAAAAAAAAAAAGAGAGACTAGTAAATAAATTCATAAAATACAAAATCCAAATCATTCATCAGACCAGATCACGAGAATTGAATTCGCGGGAAATAAAAACAAACAAAAAAGTAAAAACATAAAATAAATGAGGAGTTTTCTTTTTCTTAATGGATTATCTCCGCCGTCAATCCAGTCCCCCTCGCACTCACCAAATCCCACTTTCTCTCCCCTGAAGTCAGATACACGCGTTCCTCCCTCTCTGGCTCTTTCCTTAGATTCTCTAATATCTCAGAGTAGAGTAAAAATCAGAGTCATCCCTATCTCTCCCTCTTCTCTCTCTATCTTCTTATTTGGGTGTACGGAGAAAGCATGCTATCTCCAACTCCACTCGCTCTTCTCTCCGCTTTACTCCTCTGCTTGCCTCTCGCCATACTTTTCACCATCAACAGTTCCCGACCCACAACCACCATCACCGGCGGCGGCGGCGGTCATGGAAGCCCATTTTCCATTTCTGTGCCCAGATTCTACAATACCCGCAAAACCCGCCAAATATTCGACACCAGAACCGTCCTTTCACCTCCTCCGCCACCGCCGCCACCTGAAGACGACGACTCTCTCTTCCGGGTCGCTTCCCGGGTCAACTCAAAACCCCCACGTTCTTCTCCAAAGAAGCTAGCCTTTATGTTCCTTACCACTACTCCTCTCCCTTTCGCGCCTCTTTGGGAACTATTCTTCAACCAGACGCCCAAAACCCTCTTCAATATTTACGTTCATGCCGACCCGAGTTACGAGTACGACCCGCCCTTTTCCGGCGTGTTTGCTAATCGGGTCATTCACTCGAAACCCGCACTCCGTTTGACGCCGACTCTTACTTCGGCGGCGCGTCGGTTGCTCGCTCACGCTCTACTTCACGACCGAGCGAATTCCATGTTTGCTCTCTTGTCCCCTTCCTGCATACCAATCCACTCCTTCAACTTCACTTACAAAACCCTAATGTCATCGAAGAAGAGCTTCATCGAGATCTTGAAGGACGAGCCAGGATCCTTCGACAGGTGGGCTGTGCGTGGGGCGGACGCGATGCTGCCGGAAGTGAAGCTAGAGGACTTTCGGATCGGGTCGCAATTCTGGGTACTGACCCGGAAGCACGCGAGGTTAGTGGTGAGTGACAGGAAGATGTGGCGTAAGTTCAACCAACCGTGCGTGCGGGAGGACATTTGTTACCCCGAGGAAAATTACTTTCCTACTCTCCTGCACGTGCGAGACCCGCGAGGTTGTGTGCCGGCGACGCTGACGCACGTTGACTGGACGGTCAGCGAAGACGGTCACCCGCGGATGTACGCGGACTGGGAGGTGGGTCCCGATCTGATATCTGAATTGAGGAAAGCGAGGCCTAGATACGGCGAGGATGAGACAATCAACGGCTCTGATTTTGCTGTGAAAGAGCGGCGTGACCCATTTCTGTTCGCCAGAAAGTTCTCGCCGGGGTCGCTGCAGCCTTTACTCAGCCTGTCAAAAGACGTTCTCTTCAAAGATTAGGCCCTATCCAGCGAGGGCATTTTTGTAAATTTAAGTGTCTTTTTTAAAAAAAAAAACTTGTTCATGAAAATATTTTATTAACATGAAAAGCTTGGGATCAAACCCAGTATATATGTTTTTAATTCGACAGGTGTCCTTTTTGTTCACCAAATACCAATTCATTCTTATGTACAGTAATTTATTTTGAACAAGTTATATATAATTAATTCTGATATAAGGTTTATCACTCTTTTAATTATAAAATTTGGTTTTAATGTAATAAATATATTGATATATTTAAATTTATTTAGAAAAATACATTTAAAAAATCATTTTCTCCTTAAAAAAATTAAAACTGTAAATTTGATCAGTTTTTACTCGGTGTAACTTTTAGAGGTTAAAACGTAATTATTGTTAGCTGTTTTAAAAAAAATAGGAAAGTAGAAAAATGAGGGAAAAAAGGGGCGTGTTTGGTAAATGAAGATAATAGCGAGGGCGTTTTCTTTTTCCTGAAATGTTAGGGGGGCCCCAGTGTGAGTGGTTAGTAAAGCAAATTCCTGGTCATTTATATCCATCACTTTTGAAGCCAAACAGGGTCTTGTTGGTTACGTGAAAGGACATCTCACGGCCTCAGGTTATATGTCAAGATATCCACCCTCTCGGTTACCGAGCTGTCACCTTAGATTTTTTGTCTTCTTCTAACAGTTTCTCTCCTCCTTTTCTTTTTTCTTTTTTTTTTTTTAAGAAAATCCTCTTGCTTTTTTTTTTTTTTTTTTTTCAAGTAATAAGAAATTAATATTTAATTAAAAAACATAATTTCGAGCTAACTTTAGTTAACACATTTTTAAATTTGATTTTCGTTTTGTCAAAAAGGTTGGATTAGGTTCATAATAAACATATGGTTTTGATTTGTAAATGGTAATCATTCCCCAACTTTTCTTTAAAAAAGATTAATGGATAATGAAGTCACGTGCAATGCTGCAGCATAGTATAAAAGTTACAAGTAAAAATTGAATCAAACAGGACCCATTTATATATATATATATATAATACTTTGGATATAAAAGTATATTCTAAGATTATATTATTCGAGCAAATAGGCCCAACACTGTAATTTAAATAAGCCTTCGGCAATTTAAGTTATTTGGCCCAGTCTAATCACAAGTTACAATCGGTTTAGTTTTCTAGAGGGCGAGATTTCATGGGCTCAACGGGCCGCTTACCTTATTTCAATTTAACGATTTTTGTAATTATTCACTTAATCGTAATTTTATTTTATATAAAATAGATTATATTTTAGAATTATTTTATAAAAGCTTAGAACTTAAAAAAATCAAATTTATATTTTAAATGCGGAAACAAACAATAAAATTTTTATTCATTACACAGTAAATTAGAATGCCTAATAAGATTACGAGAATATCTTTTCTACAACGGTTCATAAAAAAAAAAATAACGATTAAAAACAAATAAATAAATGTTCTAAAGAATTAACCTCCACTAATATTTGAAGAAAGTTCGGGAAGTAAACTACTCACAACGCTCTTACTAATTGGATTTTGGATTTTGGTCTTCTTAATCTTAAATAGTTAATAAAAGGGTGAGCTACACTACTCTAGTAAAAATATAACACAAATCATTATTACGAAAAACAAAAAATTAGTAAAAATTACAAAACAAGCTCCTAATTTAAGTAAATTTATTTAACATTAAAATATTTATTTCATACTTACCATTACGAGTTTTTCAAAAACCAACATATGAAGACCAATATGCATACAATATTTCAATTTCATGCACAACTGAACAAGATCAGTAATTCTCCTTTTTAACCTTCTTACTGAAACTCCTAGGTTTTTATACGAATATTCTCCTGCTCGTGAACCCAATATTTAAATTTATCAATTAATCCGATCGTCCTCGTATCCCGTCCAGTAATGAGCCACAAACACACCATCACCTCAATACCCAGTCCGGTATAAGGGTGAAATATATCTCCCAAATCTTTCCGATATAAGACTTCTCAGTCCAGTCCGACTGAAGTAATATCCACAGTAGGGATTCTCTATGTACCGAGCCCATTCGTCATTTCTTAAGGTACCCAGTACGACTTTCACATAAAGATCCTTATCAACAAAACAACTATCAATCGCATACCAACATCTCATTTCATATTCACAGATTAATTAAACAATATTTAAGCAAATAATACAATTCTATACCTTAATAATCAAAAAACGTACTTAGGGCATTTATTTTCAATTAGTTAATCAGATCAAGAAAATAACGATTAGGTAATCAATAAATAAAAAAATAATTAAAAGCAATAATTAAGGCACACGACGGAATAATAAGCAATTTAGGCAGTATAGAAAAATAAATAGGCAACACATGCAAACTATGGCAAATATGAACTGTCAAGTTCTGTCTCTACTAGTGATCTGTAATTATTTTAAGGATTTTTTTTTAATTTTTTACAAAATACAAGATATTCGATTATTAAGGCTTAATTTATCATAACAGAGAATAGGGTGAAAGATTCTTATCCGGATCAGTGTTTTGAAATACAGTATTACCTACTACGTCTCCTAACATGCTCCGAATTTTCTGAATTTTTTTTTTTGAAAATTAAAATATTCTTCACGTACCAAAAAATATCCTAAAAATTTAAAATCGGTGTTGAAATTTTTTTTCCAGCTAATTCTAGGGTTCTAGCATGATAGCACCACCGTGCTCTAGTGTCGGTTCCGGTGCCGACAACAGCAATTTGTCTCGACCTGGTCAGTTTTAGTTGGTTTTGACCGGTTTTGGTCGATTTTACACGTATCCTTGTTAAAAAAACATATTAGAAAGCCTCAGTTGGCCCGAAAAATTAAAAAATCGAAACCTACCAGGGGGTCTCCAGGTGTGACGGCTCTACCGATTTCCCTTCACGACTGAAATTCTTATTCAGCTAAGCTGCAATAAAAAGAGACGGTGAACACGATGGTCGAAGAATCGTGTGAAACAAGAAATGGGAAGGGGGTCATCGGAGAGAGTTTAGGGTTTTGGCCGCTACGGCTCCGCCGAACTTTACCCGCGATTTTTAGCTCACCCACTGTCCATTTTGCTCCAATATGGTCATAGGGAGAATCAGAATTGGATTTCGAGCAGGGAGAAATTTTTTTTTACCTTTTTTGGCAGTCGACGGTGGCTCCGATGCGATGATAACTGGGGGTCGACCTCCTTCTCCGGCGTTTGGGTTCTTCTTATCCGATAAGGGCTGGGCGGCTAGGGTTAGGTTCTCCTATGAATAGGAGTTTAAATACTCATTTACTTTTCGATCTAGGCTGTCCTTTTGTGTTGACGTGGACGAGGAGGACTGTTTGATGATTTTCCGTTTAGGCTGATGGCATGGACGAATATGGACCGTCCATTGCAATCCATCCCGTCTGTCCAATCGCGTCTAAAAAGGGAATGCATCTGGGCCGTTCACGCGCGCGGGTTGAGGTCTAAACCGTCAGATCGCATATCACTCGTGTAACTTCCCACATGGTGCTAATGTTAGCCTGCCTGATACGCAACGTGATCTGGTTCGCTCGGGTTGTTGACTGGGCCGTCTCACATGGCCAAACTTTTTCTTTTTACAATTTAACCTTTTATTTTTAATTTTTTTTTAAAAAATACCAATCGAATTCAAAATTTTACCCGTTTTCTCCAAAATTATTTCAATTTTGCCTCTAATATATTTTTTTTCTCAAAAATTCACTAAAACTAAATTGAAATAAAATAAAATAAATTATATATATAATTTTTATAAATAAAAAAATTATCCCATACTGATTTTTGGGCCCGGATTTTACATATTTATTTTTTTAAAAAATATTTACTTATTTATCTTAATAAGTCTAAAAACATCGACAAAACAATAAATGAAATATCATATAGACTAAAGTGTTAGGAATTATATAAAATTCAAACAAAAACGAAATTAATCATGTATATTTTATCCTTAAATTTGAGATATTCTTCTTAAATCTTTTTCTTAGATGAAATTAATTATGTTAGAATTGGAAGTAACCAATCTTGAATTTGGTAACCCTTTCCCCCCCAAGGGATCCTGTCTCACTGAACTCACCTAACCGTGGTGAAATATCCAGTTACATCATGGTTTGTTGTGATTAAATTTAATTTGGTCATTATATTTTATCAACATATTAGTAAGTTAAAATTTTTAATCTCGTTAAATTAATATTATAAATTACATCTCAACTTATAAAGTTATAAATTTTACATATTTAATAAATTTTGACTTCGTAATTTTAAAATAAAATATAAAATTTTAACCAATATACTACATTATCGATAATTATTATTATTAATAAGATATAAATTATAAAAGGCACGACTTAACATTTCATAGTAATGTGTTGGATAATACATGATTGCCATTCATTCAACTTCACTTACTTTGGATGCTTTTTAGTACACTTGAATTTTTAGTCATTCAAATTTGCACTCTTTTGACTTTTAATTTTTTTTTAGTTCATATTCATAGTCTTTTTTAAAATTATTTTTACAAACCTTATGCTCATTTTACATGACTTAGAATGTGAGAAATATGTCTTACCTATATTAGTTTTGATTTTATTGAATCAAATTTAACTTAAACATGAAATTCCATTAAAAAATAAATATAAAATTAATTTATATTTGATGTTATTTGTTCATATGTTATGTCTAAAAAATATCAAATTAATGCCTAAATTTGTTATTTATTATAATTTAGTTAAAATAATATTTTTAATTAATAATCTGC